ATCTGGACTCTATCAAGTAACCAGTCTTAAGGGGTTTTCAGAATTTTCTGAGTTTATATCTTGAAAAAGTATAAAGAAACCTGGTCGGAACAGTGGTTCAATACCTCTGAGATCCCCATTACATATCAAAAGGATATTTTGTTTTCATTTTATATTAACTTTGTGTTTCTAAAAATGAGCTGCTTAGAGAGATGAGACAAACTGGTCCTATTTTGTCTTAAAGTGAATATAGTTTGTATTATATTTTAAATCTATATTATATATTGGCTTATATTTAAATTATTATATTTAAAAGTGATTTTTTTTAAACAATAAAAGATGAAGTAAAATGGTATGGATGCTAATGTAAAAAAAATAAAAGGAACTTTAAACAGAATATTCTTTTATTTATTTATTTATTTAGAGATGGAGTCTCGCTCTGTCACCCAGGCTGGAGTGCAGTGGTGCGTTCTCTGCTCACTGCAAACTCTGCCTCCCAGGTTCAAGTGATTCTCCTGACTTTGCCTCTGAGGAGCTGTGGTTACAGGCCAAGGGCCTGCCACCATGCCTGGCTAATTTTTGTAGAAACAAGGTTTTACCATGTTGGCCAGGCTGGTCTCAAACTCCTGGGCTTAAGTGACCCACCCTGGCCTCCCAAAATGCTGGGATTACAGGCGTGAGCCACCGCAGAATATTCCAGCGATATTTAAGGTTTAAAGTTTTCACACGGCTTATTGGATAAAATAAAATAATGGGTTTAATAAGCTTACCTCCTACCTTGTCAAATAGGCCTTGCTTTTATTTACCTTAATTTGGTGTTCAAGCTCTAGCAGATGCACCATAGATTTGGTTATTTGCTCCAAATATACTTAAATAGGCTTTGGTATTCCCCTTCTCCACTTTGATCTCTCCTGAGTAAAGGATTCCAACCTTTGTAGTCTGTTCTTTGTGACAATGAACATTCAGTGAATGTTTTCTATGTGCTAGGTACTTGCATAAGCAGTTCGCTTGTGTTTCTTCATGCACTTGTCACACAGCTCTATGAACTGCAAGTTTTAATCATCTTGTTTCGCAGCTGAGATAGCTGAGGCAGTGAGCAGTTAGGAAGTTTGCTCAAGGTCTCAGTATTAGCAAACGGCAGAATTGAGATTTGAACCTAGGCTGTCTGGCTCCAGGGTGGGCACTTTCAATTGTCTCTCTATAGGAGTGTGGCATTAGAGCATATGACGCCTGTGTCTTCCCCCTCCGACTGTCTGCATTTGTCATAGACCATTCAGCAACTATATCAATATAGAGATAGAAAAAAACTGGAAAAAGCCAACAATACCAGACATGACAAGGTGATGTAACTAACTTCCAAAACGAAGCACGGGAATCCTAGACACAAGTTTCTAAGTCAGGCTTACAAGAATGATCAGAGATGACAGAGGCTCCCTCCGCTTCCTTAGAGTCATTTGGATTCCTCTCTCACTGTGTCTGTTTCTCTTCTGCTCTCTCATACACACCCCTCAGGGAATCCATCCAGGTCATGTTCTAGAGTAGTGCACTGGTTGGGATGAGGAAGCTCTCCTTAGGTTTACTCCTCACCCATTACCTCTAGCTCCTTTAGCTCTAACTTGGGCTTGGATAATGTTCCTCTCTGATCACAACTTTAACTCTCTTCCTAGAATCTCCATCCTGTTTCCCATCACAGAAGCCAAGTCTTTTCTTGGTGAAAAGTGAAATGCCCTGGACTACTAGCGGGTGATATATTTTTCCCCTCTATCATATGGATTAATTTCATTTCAGCCCTTTGTGTTCAGAGAATCATTCACTTCTTTTCCTATAGAACCCGAATAGAAAGAAAAAGAAGATAGGATTGGAGGAAGGGGGCATAGCAATTGCATTTTCTTTTATTGGCTCTATGCAGTTACGATGATGGTAAAGTGTCTGAGGTTGCCTAGTAGAGATACGTGCTTTTCCAGCTTTTCCAGTGTTCGAGGGTAGAGCAGAGGGTGTGTGACTTTTATGATCATGAGTAGAGGAAGAAGGAAAAAAAAAATCCTTGTTGGAAGCCTTTAGTGGTGGCAACTCTAGGAGACCAAGACCAATATATGTACATCAGAAAGAGGAAGACCACTGGTTTGACTGAGCTAGGGCCCTCTCAGAACACCAGCAAGAGACTCTGCCCTCTACCACTTCCAACTATTCCCTGCACAGAGATGACAATCCTGAGCCTCTTCTAATCTTCACCTCGCTGTTGACCAAATGAGCCACTGTGGTGATCTGAGGAGTGAGTAATGGGCTCATGGGGCAAGGGTGGGGCAGGGGCCTGCCAATCCTTTTGTATTCTAGGTTGGAACTCAGTATACATTCCCCACAAGACATTATGTCCTCATCTATGATGATTAAGTTCCACAGTACTATATTATGATCTCATGATCTTGGACAAAATGTTTAGGCCTGAAAGCTTATTATGAATAAGTATCTATAGCATTGATTTACAATCACCTATAGGTTGCCAAAGGTGCAAAACGATTTTTGTAAATAATTCATTGTATTCTCTTTATTTTGTGATATGCTGCTCCCATAGTAACCGTGGGATTTGTTATTTTTTGGGTAAAATTTTCAGTGCTTTCAAGAGAAAAAATTTCTTGTAAGATGGTTCAGTAGAACAGTTCGGAAACAACCATATTCTGGCAGCCAATCTCAAATAAGGATGTGTACAATTATATCATGTTGAGATCATACTTGGGTTTTGGCATCAGAGAGATTGGGACTTTCTCTGTGTGGCTATGTGGTCAGGAGACATTACCTACCCTCTCAGCCTTGGCTTCCTCATCAGTAAAACCAAAATATTAGTCCCTACTTTGCAGGGTTTTGGGAAGACTAAGTGAAAACATATATATCTATATATAATTACATATTATATAAACTATATATATTATTATATAAACTATATGTATTATTATAAGATATATATCTTTCATCTATAATTGTATCTTAAGTAACTGATAAATAAGAACACTGTAGTGCATTTTGGAATAAATTTCTAAGCCATTTTGAGGTTTATGCTAATAACTATTAGTTGACAAAATGGGTGGAATTATTATGACTCAGTGCTCATCAAAAACCAAGGAAAGGCAAAGCACTTGCAGACTTTTGAAGCCTGTTTCTGCAGATGTAAAAAAAATTTCAGGAAAATTGTTTTTTATTGCTGATGTCATAATTTGGATGAGACCATGCTAGACCTTGAAAAGAGAAGTGACAGAATTAATTTATAAGCATTTAAAAATGAATTGAGCTAGCACTATTTCTATCTCACTTTTTTGCCAGTATTTTCAACACTCAAGATGAGGGTCAATTTTTAACAGCTGAAGATTTGGTGGTGGCATGGACATTCATCAATCACACATCTGTAATAGCTACTATATTTCAGGACAGAGAGACTCATTTGAGAAATGCATGTTTGCGGATGATGTTTCAAAGTAATTTCACAAGGGTCATGTGGGAAATCATTTAGACATATTAAGTCACTTAATGAACATTATTTGGAAGTCATAATCTAAATTTTAATGCAGTTGTATCTTCTACAGGGTTAGAATTTATTTTTGACTTCTCCAAAGATAATTTTTATAAATAAAATTCTTCATAGATTTAATTTTTCAGTCATGTCATTGCTCAGTTAAGTTATTAAAAATGGAAATAATACCTTACCATTTAAATCTCTATGTTTTATATAATAAACATTTTTAAATTTTTAGTGTTTTACATTTTTTCTAATTAAAAGTGCAGTATTGGTGTAAGAATGAACAAAAAAGTTATTAGAATACAGTTGGGAGCATAGAGACGGATCTACATCTTTATAAGAACTTAGTATATGAAAATTGATCAACTTTTGGACAAAATAACATTACATCCTATAGCAAGACAGATTCTTAGTGAAAGAAAGAAATAAACATAAAAAAATCCTATATGTAGAAGAAAATATAATGATTTTTACGACCTATGGATAAAAATGACTTTCTAGTTATAAGAGCAAAAGGAGAATGATAAAGAAAAATATTTACAAATTTACTTAAAATATTTAAACTTCAAACTTCAATGTGATAAACACAAAATGTAAAAACAACAAACTATGAAAAAGCATATGATATAAAGTAATACTAGAAAAAGGATTAATGTCCTTACATATTTTTTCAAGTCTTGAAAATCAGTAAGAAAAAGACAGATACCCCTGATAGAATATGGGCAAAAAATCACAAAAGCAAAACCACAAAATTCAATAAACCTATAAAGTATTCACCCTCAAGCATTATAAAATAATGTTTAAAGCAATTAAAGATATTTCACATATTTTTCATTGTTTTCTGGAATGAATACTGCTATACATTAAGTTAGTGTAAGTAGGCACAACTTTTGTGGAATGCCTTTTGCAAATATATATTATAAGACTTAAAATATCCACATCTCTGCCTTTTAATCAGAAATCAGAGAAGTGTGCAAAGATTTTATACAATTATGGGCATAACATTAACACAAAAAATTTAAAACTGACTAAATGTCCAATGAGATTAATAGTTTTAAATTTTATGATAAATTTCTACTGAGTGTGTACGTGTAAAAACCAGTTTCAAAAGCTCAAATCATGTATAGAATCATGGACTATCATATCATTAAAAATAATATTTTCAAAGAATGTTTAATAATATGGGAAAATGTGTACAATAAAATATTATGTGAGAAAAAGGAAAGACCCCAAACTGTATATATAGGAAGATTCAAAAGTTTTAAAGGAAATATACTAAATGGTAACTGTGTAGATCTCAGCATGGAAATATAGGTGATTTTATTTTTCTATTCTATTTTTCTTGTATTTCATTAAAATAAGTAAAACTGTTAACATAATTTAATATTTATTAAAGAAATATCAATGTCTATGGAAGATGTAATGTCAAGATAAAAAGTATATGTTTGTATCTACTCAAGTAAAATTGTAATAAATTAGGGTAACCTATTCTCTCTCTATTTTTTCATTGAACAGGTGTTGAGTGCCTCTGCTATTGCCAGTTACTGTTTTAGATCCTGCAGATACTGGTATACTGCAGTGAACAAGGGAGAAAATAATTCTCTTTGCATTTCAGCATGGGTGGGGGTGGGATGGTGGGCAAAGGGAGGGTTTACATTCATGCTCTTTCCCTTTATAAAGAAATGTGTATATATGTTGGGGGTGGGTGGAGGTTGAGGATGCTGCTGTTTCTGTACAGTCTTGTGTACAGAATAGGAAACCCAAACCTTAATTTTGACGTTGCTTGTTGCTGTAATATGAGCATGCCCAACCAAATAAACAGCCAAGCACGAGCCTGAGTCTAGAAACACACTTTTGCTTATATGGCAAAAAACATACTGCTATCCTGGTTTTAGGGCCCAGTGCATCAGTGGAGGTCTATGCTCAGAATTCTGGGTTACACATACTGCCGAAGGAACAGAGCTCAGAGGCTTGGACTGGCTGATCTTTTCTTCAGAAACCAATAACGGAGCTCTTAATTTTTAATAACTGAATTTACAGTCATCTGACACCTGAGGTCACTTAGGATGCAGGACTTATTCATCTGTTTATTTATTTATTGGTTCTTAAATATCAATTAATTTCCTTAATGGTAGGATGCTGGGAAAGGAAGATGGGGAGGGTGATCCTTAATTGCATCACTTACCTCTTTATAGATGAAGCTATAGTGAGCTTAGAGTAAAAATGAAAAAAGTTCAAGTATAAAATGGCAAATATTAGGAGTTTCATTGTATTAAAAGTGCACACAAAGTACATACAAGTGAAATCTTGGAACAGTTCTTACAACAAGCATCCAGGCAGTAGACAAACCAGAGATGTCTGGAAATAGGCAGGAAAATAATAACTGCTGGGTTCTAACTTAAAGAAACTCTCATTCACATTAACAACCAAGAGAAACCACACTCGACCAGTTCCTTAAAACACGGGACCCCACAACACAGAAGTCGGTGCTCTGCAACCAGCTGAGAAGTACAGTGCAGCTGCTAAGCTGTTTTAAAGACAGTCATATCTGTGTGACACACTCTTCCGGAAGGTTACAGGGGAGCTTTCCAGCCACTTACATTCACTGATGATTTCCAGGGAGGGTAAGAAGTACTCATCACAGACAATAGATATGGCCATGAACATGTAAACGATAATTAGGAAGTAGATGATAATGCCTCCATCTCTGCGCTCTTGTCTTGTGAAAAACCCTTCGGGAAACTCTGATGATGGAGAAATAACACATTGGGTGCTATTTTCTGTTAAGGAAAAGGAGGTGAATATTTGAAGAGTTTGTGGAGTCACACATTCCAAGCCCACAGAGAGCTTCCTTAAGAAATCTGTAAGTGTGGGTAACTGGGTGGAATTTTAAGAACCCATTGAAAATGTATAAAGCACTTCTGAATATGACACAGTTGTAGAGTTTTTTAAAGATTATTTTTGGGACTGAAAAGAGGTGCTTTAATGAAATATGTTGATGATGGCGAAGAATTAAAAAGAGGAAATCACGAAATCACTCCTCCTTTTCTGCTCCATTTCTGAATGCTCCCCAAGCAGAAATGATATCTCTGACACGTGAAGATTTCTAATGTCTGTACAATTTCATTTTCTCATTTCAGAGCCTAAATTGTCCACAGGCCTGCAAAAAGTCATCCACTGTTGCAAAGAGCGTTTCTAGGATGAAAGATTATTTTTTTTTTTCACAAAAAACTCTGCAACAATAAAAACTGGAGACTTGGCCTGCTATGATCTCTGTGAATCACTTTGGAGTATATTTAAGAACTTATTTGAAGGATCAAGTGTTTGATATCTTTTTAAATGCTAAAATTCAGAGCAAATACAGCAAGAAGCATAAGTAAAAGTGAGCCCATTGAGAATTTTCCTTTTTTTTGTCCCTTCATCTGTATGTGGTAGCAGTAACAGCAGCTGCTGCAGCAGAGGTAACTCACCCCAGTGTACACCTACCTGTGTCCCTTGGGAGACGTTGGGGCAGGGAGGCCCCCGGGAGAGGCAGGTGTGCCATGGCCCACAGGATGCCGAGCAGCAGAGCGCTTCTTGCCCATGTCTGGCCCCCTTTTGTCTGCATTTCTGCTGTGCTCTTACTGCAGCCTGCAGCTTCAGGAAGGGAGAGGAGAAGGATTAAGCTGGATCATGTGAGGAGTCTCCTTCCTGCCCAATATCCTGCCCAGGGCACATCTCAGCAAGGCCAGCACAGGAGAAAGGGTGAGTGTAGCCAGCCAAGCTACTTTGATCAGGAGACCCAATCTCCAGAAAAGCCAGAGGAGATTGAGGAGATCCGACAACCATTGTCTATAACTATTTCCATGGCCTACAGTCTCTGAGGGCAGATTAAGGCAGCTTGTACTGTGTGAAAATGTGTGGTTTTATTTAATGTCTTCATACTGGCTTTCTTTCTCTAGATTTATAAAAACTTGGGTTTACAACTGCTTCCCCTCTCTCTCCAGCCCTTTCTCCTGGAAGTTATTGGGGCTCATATTAATATATGTACATCCTTTGACTAGCTTGGCACCCTTTCATATTTCCATTTTAGCCTCTCATCTTCATCTTCAGTTAGGGCCAAAGGGAGACAGGCCAGTTAGGAGGTCATTGCAGTGATCTAGCTGAGAAATGATAGTGACTTGAACCAAGGCAGTGGCAATGGGAATGGAGAGTAGCTGACAGTTTCAAGAATTATTGAGACTGAATGGATGCTATTTGATCATTGATAGGCTGTGCTTTCTACCAGAGGGAGCTACCTAAAATGCAAATTTGACATACCAGGTAGTGTTTAAATATAGACTCCTATCTTCCCTATTCTAACACTTACAGGGATTGCCAAGATATTTAGAACTGTTGGCCCTGTAGTAACCTGTGCCTAATAGCACAGGCTGTGGAACCAGACCACGTGGTTTGAGTCCTCGCACTGCTACTTACTAGTTAGGTGACTTTTGGCAAGTTATTTAACCTTCCTGCTACACGGTTCCGTTATCTCTAAAACAGGGATCACCTGTATTTGGGCTGTGGTAAGAATTACAAAAATGAACGCAGATAAATTGCTTTAGAATGACCTCTGGTCTGTGGCCTATGTCTTTGTTCCTTCCTTCCTTTCTTTTTCTTTGTTTTGTTTCTCTCTCTCCTTTCTTTCTTTAATTTCTCTCTTTCTTTCTCTCTCTTTCATTATTACTGTTGATTAAAATAGAAGCATTTTTGTTCATAAAATTTTTTTGTTGTTTTGCAACTTTCATGGTTCGTTTGCTTTGCAGAAAAAACACAAAAATTGATATGCTTGCTAAGTTTTATATTTAGACACTAGTTTTATCTGGTGGAACGGAGTAAGTTGCTTCCTGATGTTTGTGATTTGGGGTCGGAAAAAAGTCTCAAACACTTCTTTGTTTTGCTGGAAATTGCTATCCATTATAAACCTCTCCAAAACTGTCATTTTTAGGAACTAGATATTCAGATGTGCGGTGTGATTGTGAGGCTGGGATGTTGAGTCACCAAAGCACAGTCCAGTATAGAGCAGATTCTCAACAAGTAGAGTCCCAGCTGTCTACACCTGCAGGAAGCAGCACCCTGATCACTGGATAGTGGCCTAGGTGCCAGCTGGCTAAGACTAAGGGAAGAAGTCATTCAGTTTTGTGCTGAGTGGAAGTCTCTTCAACACACACAGCACTTCAATCAATTCATAAAACATTATAAACAAATAAAATACCAATAATATAAAAAGCTCAAACCCAAAGTGAAAACTTCCAATGCATGTTGTCAACTAATCCGAGAAAGAGAGCAAGTGTCTGAAGGTACAAGCCAATTGCGATGGAGCAGCAGAGGTGCCTTGCACATAGCTGGCATTCCAACAACATTTGCAGATGATTACATTGCAATGGACTTGAAAACACATTGGCAGAACATGCATATGCTTGGTCTAAACAAATTACCATTTTAATATGGATTTACCAAGAAAAGAGAATTTAGGAGGTGAATTAGATTTGCTTTACACACAATCTTCATTTTGCAAAAGCATCTCAAAGATCTTTTTTATTGTAAAATAAAGCACAGATAAAGCCAAATAAGTGAATAGTTTATTATATTATTATGCTATTATTTTTAGAAGATGAACACCTTTGTAAACATCCCAGGTCAAGAAATAGAAATTTGCCAGCCACCCTAGAAGTCCCTTTGTGACCCTCCATCTCCTCTCCTCCCTTTCTGTGATAGTAACCACTCTCCTGACTTGTAATCACTTTCTCGTGTGTGTATTTTTAATAGTCTATGATCTAATTGGGTGCATCTTTAGGATGCTATAACTTAGTTTTGCCTTAAAAGGTATCTTTTAATTTTCTGTTACTCTATAGGTCTCCCCTTTTTTCTCTTCTGTTCCTTATAACTTGTCTTGGGAAAAGTCCAGGGCATTTGATTTGTAGAGTTTCCTACAGTTTTGATTTTGACGATGTGTCCTTGTGGCATAGTTCAATGAGTTTCTGTTTTCTATATTTTTGTAAACTGGCAGCTGGTTGCAGAGGCTTGATCAGACTCAATCCTATCCCTCTGGCAAGGCTAGAGGTAATGGTGTGTTTGTTCACAGGAGGCACGCTGTGTCTGCTCATCTTTCTTTTGTAATGTGAGCAGCCACTCATGCTCATTACTCCAATTAATTAACTCCCATTAATTCTTTGGGAGTTGCAAAAGGGTGGTATATTAGGGTTCTCTAGAGGGACAGAACTAATAGGACATATGTCTATATTTACACACACACACACACACACACACACACACACGAAGAGTTTATTAAGTAGTATTAACTCACATGATCACAAGGTCCCACAATAGGCCGTCTGAAAACTGAGAAGCACGGAAGCCAGTCCAAATCCCAAAGCTGAAGAACTTTGAGTTTGATGTTCGAGAGCAGGAAGCATCCAGCACTTGAGAAAAATGTAGTCTGGGAGGCTAAGCCGGTTTAGCCTTTTCACGATTTTCTGCCTGCTTTATATTTGCTGGCAGCTGATTAGATGGTGCTCACCCAGATTAAGGGTGGGTCTTCCTTTCCCAGCTCACTGACTCAAATGTTAATCTCCTTGGCAACGCCCTCACAGACACACCTAGGGTCAATACTTTGCGTCCTTCAATCCAATCAAGTTGACACTCAGTATTAACCATTACAGGAGGCATTCTAACTCTAATTTATTCTTCATTTATTAGTTGGAATATTTTACAAAGAGATGATTTCTATCATCTACTCTTTGAATACCCACAGGTACCCAGTTTCTGATTCTTTCCTTTTATTTTAGGTTTTCAAAACAATATATTGGTTCCCTATTTTTTCTCCATAAATAACCATTCAGATTAAATTATTATGAATTAATATATTTAAATATATTTGATGCATTCCAATCAATTGCAGTTGTTATCAGTGTTGAAGCTCAAATTGTCTCACCCTTAGTGAGTGAGAGCCTGTTCTGAGCATCTGTGACATGATCTCAATCATCTTTGATAGCTTCCTCACTAGCTGGTATAAAAAGATGTTCCAAGCTCACCCATCTTATACATGAAATCACCCATTTTCTCCAAAATCTTTATTTTTTTAAAGTGGAATGTATTTCAAGAATGTGATGTAAAAATTTGGGTTGCTAGAGATTCTCATTGCAACTGGGTTGGTCATCGTTTCTAAATCTTAATCTCTCTCCCTCTCTCTGACACAGACACACACACACACACACACACACACACACTCCCACCGCTTAATAAAATATATCATGAGTTAATACTGATACTTAGGATTCAAATTCATGATGACAGCTTTTTATTTTAATCTGGACTTTTTCTATACTAACTCTGTATCCCCTTTAACACCACAGGTTATGGCTCCCAAGAACACAGGAGATGACAAAATAGGGATATCCAAAAGTTTCTAATTTATGATTTTACTGTACCATATTACCTACATACCAGTGTGAAATAACAATATTGATACTACCAACCCCGAGACAAATACTGAGAAGAATTAAGCATTTGTGCATATGCTCTTCCATGCTCCCTCTATTCTTTTAAGAGCTGTAGTCTCTCTACACTGCTGCAGCATATAGTCATTAAATCTACCATATCTCCCTTTAACCCACATTTTGTCTGGTTCTACAAGTACCTACATGTTTACTGCTTGCCACCAGTCCTTAGGCTGTTGTTTCTCTAGGCATTTTGATACCTGCAACTTATTTTCTAGTAGATTGCTGAGAAGGACCTTTGGGAAGAATATTGCTTGAGTTCTTTCATGTTGGTAACAATTTGTCAATCATCTCTATACTTGAAAGTCAGCTCTGCTGGATGTAAAACCATTGGCTTGCATTGTTTTCCTTTGCATGCCTTAAATATGTTACTCTGTTTTCATCTACTATAAAACATTGTTATTGACAAGTCAATAATTATCTATTTCTTATTCTTTCACAAGCCACATGTCCTTTTTTCTAGATACCCAAAGGACTTTTTTCTCTTAAAGTTCAGTAATTTCACTAGAATATATCATAGTGTGGGTCACTGTAGGTCAGCATTCTTAGGTCTGTAGTATGCTCTTTCACTTTGTGGTTTCAAATTCCTTTACTTCAGGAGTGTTTTCTTGAATTACATTCTTAGTATTTGTTCTTCCCTCTTCGTCTAGATTTCTTGTTCCAGAGACTTCCACTATTTCTATGTTGGATATTCTTTGAGTATCTTCGATATTGTAACTTGGTTACAAATCTTCTTTATCTCTCTTTTCAATTTCGTTTTTGATTTAAAATTTTTTCATGTTTTTTCCTATTTCTCTGAAGACATTATCTGTTGTGTTCATTGCTCTGTGTTCCTCCTAGCTTGACATGAGATGGCTTTTTTCCCTTTATATCTAATTCTTTCCTGAGTGCTTTGCTGAGTTATTTTTCTAATTCTGTTTTAGGTTTTACTTTATGTGCTGTATGATGTCCTTCATGTTTTTTTTTTTAAGATTTACTTTAGTAGGTCACATTTTTTTTGTTTTGTTTTGTTTTTGTAAGACGGAGTTTTGCTTGTTTCCCAAGCTGGAGTGCAATGGCGTGATCTCAGCTCACTGCAACCTCCACCTCCTGGGTTCAAGCAATTCTCCTGACTCAGCCTCCTGAGTAGCTGGTATTATAGGCACCCGCCACCATGCCCTGTTAAATTTTTGTATTTTTAGTAGAATGGGGGTTTCACCATGTTAGCCAGGCTGGTCTTGAACTCCTGACTTCAGGTGATCTGCCCGCCTCTGCCTCCCAAAGTGCTGGGATTACAGGCATGAGCCATTGTGTCTGGCCCTGAAGGTTGCAGTTTTGATCTGTTCTGTGGGCATGTCTTTCTGGGATGCTTCTGTTGTCTGAAGGGATGTTATTCTGCTTATTATCTTTTATTCTTTAAAAAATATTTTTAAAGTTTTTAAATTCTTTTTTTGAGACAGAGTCTCAGTCTGTCACCCAGGCTGGAGTGTAGTGGCACCGTCTCAGCTCACTGCAACCTCCACCTTCTGGGTTCAAGTGATTCTCATGCTTCAGCCTCCCAAGTAGCTGGGATTGTGCACCACTGAGCCTGGCTAATTGTTGTGTTTTTAGTAGAGATGGGGTTTCACCACGTTGGCCAGGCTGATCTCAAACTCCTGACCTCAGGTGATCCACCTGCCTCAGCCTCCCAAAGTGCTGGGATTACAGGTGTAAGCCACCTTGCCTGGCTCTTATTCTTATAGTAACTTTATGTGAACTTGGACCTCGATGCCTTTCTTTTTTCATTTTTATAGAAAATTATTTTTTCTTGAACTTTTAGAAGAAAGTGTTATTCACTATGGCTTTTCTAAATTTGCAGAGCTCCCGTTTTTATTATTTCAGTGTTCAAAAATAACACGGCTTGCTTTCTGAGATTTACTGATGCAGTCCCCCACGCCTGTGTTTATCTGGGTCTTTTCTTCTTTATTCTCAAGTGTTTCTATCCTGCTTAGCTTTTCCACCATAGGCAGCAGTTTTAATAAGTAGTTTCAGATCTTCATGTGTTGGGCCCTGTGCTGAAAGAAGTTCTGGTGAGAGTTCATATGGGTCAGACCTTTCTATATATTCACCCACTGTTGGAATGAGCCAAGCCTTTTTCAGATATAGCTATTGTTCTCAAATTGTCGTATGGTACTTTTACAAATACCTGTTGTGTATTTTGGGGTCTCCGGTTCTCAGGCCAGTCAGAGTCCCTGTCCTCTTCCTGTACTTCTCTCTCATAGAAGCCAATACCATGCATGTTTGGTGTCGTAATGATGGTTTGTCCCCACTCATTTGTACTTGGGATTCATAGGGATAGCTTGACATAATTATATTTTAACTCTTGTTCATGAGTCTTTGGATTTGCTACCTAGTTGCTTTGTCTATTTCTAGGTAGGGATTTGGAAAGATTAGAAAACCATGTAACTGCTGTCTCCATCTTCAAAAAGCTTTTTGTTTTTAACCAAAAGGATTCATAGATGTATTCTTTAATCAGAAAAATTATTTTAGTACGTTGCACATGTGCTTTGCTTTATGAAGATTCTATTTAATACAAACCAGTAGGAAACCCTACTGCATTTTTGGCTTATGATATCTTCTTTTTTATAATTATGACTTTTCATTTACTTAATATTTTTGACGTATATATGTTTCTTTAAAAGAACTACACAGAAAGAATAGTTTTTTTTTAAGATGGATGATCAGGATATAATCCTACTGTAAATCAAAGAACATCTGTATTATGTAAAGTCGCGTACAGCTAAATTGCTATACAAGTTCGTGCTGAGACCAAATGAAACAAAACTTTGCACCTGTTGGATCTTTGACCTTGAGAAAATTACTTCACTTCTTAGGGCTTCCTTGTTCCCATTTGTAAAATGAAAGATCTGGGCCAGATATGATTCTAACGTGTGTTCTTTTTTTGACTGAGTTTCACTCTTCCACCCAAGCTGAAGTGAAGTGGCGTGATCTTGGCTCACTGCAACCTCCGACCTCAGGTTCAAGGGATTCTCTTGCCTCAGCCTCCCGAGTAGCTGGGATTACAGGCATGCGCCACCATGCCTGGCTAATTTTTGTATTTGTAGTAGAGACAGAGTTTCACCATGTTAGCCAGGCTGGTCCCAAACTCTTGACCTCAGGTGATCCACCGCCTTGGCCTCCCAAAGTGCTGGGATTACAGGCGTGAGCCAGCATGCCTGGCCTAAGATATGTTCTTAATTCTATTCCTCATTAGCATTTGCTAGTATGAAACAATATTAGGCCCTGAATGGTTTGTACTAAAAATGGAAATTTAAATAAATAAATAAATAAGCCATCTCTTGAAATAGCAAAGTAAGTTTACTCATTAAAATCAGCACAGAGGTGGTTACTGAGCTGTGATCAAGTTATAGACTGGCAGTCAGTTTTCCCCCTTAGGGAAAAACCATTAGAATTATCTTCAGATCTTATTTGCTCATGGACCAGCTTCAGATTAACAGTCTTCTCCCGTATACTTGGACCTCTGATTCCTCTGATTAGTTAGATGGCAGCTGTTATGTTTGAGAATCAATGCTATCATTTACATATTTACTAAGCATAAGCTATTCAGGTACACTATTTTGTGCAGTTCTCCCACGGACCCTAAAGAAGAGAGGAGTAGTTCTCACTGGCTGCTCAACAGATGTGTCTCATGGCTTTTAAAATTACTGATGATTTGGTACTTACCCAGACCAACTGAACCAAAATCTGTAAGGGTGGCTCAGGGGTAGGTATTAAAAAAATTCCTATGTGATTTTAGGAGGGTGGAGAACTGCTGGGGTGAGTATTGCTAAGCCCTGCTTTATAGATGATTGAGTCAGTTACCCAAGATCTGAGGATCCACAGCTCCTAAGTGACAGAGCCAGGATGTAGACAAAGATCTAATGTCAAACTGCATGAATATCCTTAACTACTAAGCTGAGCCAACTCCTCAGAATCTGTTTCATGAGGGTATGAAACCATGTGTACCTAATTTCCTACAACACT